AAAAAAAATTAAATATTTTTTCTGTTTTAAAATAGAATTTTAAAAATAATTTTGAGTTTTAATTTTAAAAAATAATTTTTGAAAAGAGTTTTAAATTAAGTATTTGATTATGAATTTTAAAAAGAATTTAATTTTTTTAATTAAAATTATGATTTCAAAATTAAACCAAATCCTATCTTATATTTTTTTCTAAACTTATGAGAAATTTAATAATTATTAACTCCTCCAACTTAAAACATGATTAAGTGGTTTTTTGGGAAGCTGGTAAAAAGTTGATTATTTGACATTTTTAATCTAGGAAAAATTACACTGACACCCCCTGAGGTTTATGTTTATTACATTTTCCCTTACCTTTTGGAAATTACATCTCCCTCCCTGAGACATAAAATTTCATTATAGATTCCATCCATCAGCAATTTAATTTTTTTAAATACTAATTTTGCCCTCACTGGATAAATTACATTGACACAACTCACATTTTAGAAATTACAATCCTCTCCCTAAGGTTTAAATTAGCATTACCAATTAGCCCCTCGGTGAGTATTAGTTGGAAAAAAAATTCATTGGAAAAAAAAATAATTGAAAAAAAATTTTGTTAGCAAAATTTTTAAATTTGTATTTAAAAACCAACGTAAACTCATTTTTTGAATTTACATTTTTTCCTCAAATTTACAACCTAAGTCAACAATTTATAAACAAAAAAAATTATCAAACAAGTTTTTATGACAGTTTTTTAATTTTTGTAAATATAAATTGAAAATTGAAAATGAAATGGTTACCAAACTTGCCTCAGATGGTAAAAATGTCATAAAATTAGTAAATAATTAAGGCCTGGTTTAGCATCCTTAAAAAAAAAATCAAAAAATTAAAAAATTACTAAAAATGTTAAAAAGTTATCATTATTTACAAATTAAAAATATAAAAAAATTAATTTACACAATATTTTAATACAAATCAACTAGTTGACGTGACTGGTACCAACTGATGGAAGTGGGCTATCAAAGGGGAAAAAAAAGAAAATTAGGTATATATATGCATTAAATTGAAGGGTAATGTTGGGTCAGTAAGGGCTCATCACAGGTCTCGTTTTGATAATCTGAACCATTCAATAAGTAGAACTCGTTGAGTACTATGTGCCTGTAAAAAATCACGTTGATCGGATATTGCTAACTATATGATCAAATCAGTTTTTGTATAAAAAATGGATGGTGTTATAGTTAACAGTTGACCAAAAAAAAAAGGATTAGATAGCTAACGATATTCGATTATTGTGATTTTTTACAAACATATAGTACTCGACGAATTCTACACATTGAACTGTTCTGATTAGCAAAACGGGACCCGTGGTGGGTCCGCAAGGGCCGAACAACACCATCTAATTCAAGCCCGAAAAGGAGACAATCATTTCCTATCTCCTAATCCACCCACTGCTCTGCCAGACTGTACAGGCTAGATCACTAACTTCTCCTATACACTTATTTATACAAATTTTTAGGGGTTGTTTGAGATGTCCTAAATAAGTGCACTTTTTGATTTTTTGGACTAAAAAGTTGGGGAAAAAAATATGATTATTTGAAATAACTTTTTAACTTTTTACGAAAAAATATGTATTAAAAAATTGTATAATTTAGTGTATAGGAGAAAGGAGAGAGAAATAGGTCGTACGCTGGGCAGAGCTGTGGCAAACTAGCATATCGGATATGCTTGCCTCATTTTCAAGCATTGAATTGGCCGGTGATGTTCGGCCCGTGGGGGCCACCACAGGTCTCGTTTTGGTAATTGAAACTGTACAATGTGTAGAATTCATCGAGTACTATATGTTTGTAAAAATCATGTTGATCGGATATCGATAGCTATTTGATTTTGATTAGTTTTTTTGTCAATTGTTAAATATAATACCATCTATTTTTATACAAAACTGATTTGATCATGTAGTTAGCAATATCCGATTAACATGATTTTTTACAAGTATATATTACTCGACAAGTTTTACACATTGAACAATTCAGATTATCAAAACGGGACCCGTGATGGGTCCCCAAGGGCTGAACAACACCGTCCTTAAGCTTGCCTTCGCCTGTGTAATTTGTTCTTACCAAGGTCAGCTAAAGGCAACTCAAGTCAACGTGATTTGTACATTTTTTTGTATAAAATTAAATTTTTTTGGTGAATAGTGATAACTTTTTAACTTTTTCTCTTTTTTCAAAGATCCCAAACCAGGCCTTAATACACATTTTTTCGTCAAAAGTCAAAAAGTTAACCCAAGTATTCATATTTTTTTCTCAACTTTTTAGTCCAAAAAAACAAAAAGTGCACTTATTTAGGATACCTCAAACAACAAATAAGTTACCAACGTAAGAAATAACTTATCAAAATATTCTTAAGTTATGTATGGTTTGATTTTTAGATTTTTTTTAAAAAAAATTAAAAATTAAGAGGCATAAATTCAAAAAATGAGTTTAAGTTAGTTTTTAAACAGAAATTTAAAAATTTTACTAACAAATTTTTTTTCAATTATTTTTTTTAAATATTTTTTTTTAATTAATTTTTTTTAAATAATTTTTTTTTAATAAATTTTTTTTCCAACTAATATTAACTAAAGGGGCAATTGATAATACTACTTTAAACCTTAGGGAGGAGATTGTAATTTTTAAAATGTGAGAAGTGTCAATGTAATTTACCTAGTGAGAACAAAAATAGTATTTAAAAAAATTAAATTGCTGAAAAGGAATCTGTAATGAAACTTTAAACCTTAGGGAGTGAGATGTAAATTTTAAAATGTGAGAAAAAAATTGTAATAAACATAAACCTTAGAGGATGTTAGTATAATTTACCCTTTAATCTATTTTGCCTTTTTATAAATAAAAAGAATAAGATGTGATATGACTTAAAATGATTAAAAAGTTAAAATCTAATTTTTTTTTTTTTTTTTTTTTTTTTTAAAAAAACCCCAAATCAAAAGATCCCTAAAATGATTAAACAATAAAACTTTGATTCTTTTATACAAGAAGATACTTGCTGTCTTTCTCTAGTGACTGTTTGAGGCTTCTTCTTCTTCTTCTTCTTCTTTTCTCTCTCTCTCTCTCTCTCAAAACATTCAAACAGCTGTTCTTCAAAGGTCTCTGCAGACCCCAATTCCCTTTTGTCTCTTTCTGCACATATAGATACACAGTAGGTATGTGTGTATTACACACATATATATACACATTCTAGGGTTCTGATTCGATTCCATTGTATATTCATCGATTTTCTCAACTGCGTCTTCCCTATTCAAACCCACTGACCACTGGGTTTTTAACGCTTTCCGGCATCGAAATGCTCGAATTCAACACCATCAAGATGAAAATTTGGATCTTCTCTTAATCGATTTCTTCCCCAATTCACCCCAACTTGTCTTCTTTCAAGTAATGGAACTTCAAACCACCAAACCCACCTCCACAAACCTCAATTTCCTCCTCCGAATGCTCTCTTTCTGGTTCGCCCCCACCACTCTCCCTCCTGGTTCCAACAAACACTAAATCACTCACACACACATATATACATATATATATATATATATAGAGAGAGAGAGAGAGAGAGAGAGAGAGATAGGTATGTAGTGTGAGAGAATTGAATTATGACTTCGTATGCTTGGAAATCGAACACTTTGAATTCGAATTTTGGACCCAATTGTTTGTTTTCGGAGAATTTAGGAGGGTTTAGTGGGAATTGGAGAGGTGGTTCGATGTCGGTTTCGCAATCTTTGGTGTTGGATAGTGAGAGGGGTGAGCTTGTGAAGGCTGCTCCGGTGAGAGTTGGGAAGAAAAATGGTGGGGTTTCGGAGGAGAAGGCGATGGCGGCGTTGAAGAGTCATAGCGAGGCCGAGCGGAGGAGGAGAGAGAGGATCAATGCTCATCTCACCACGCTTCGTGGCCTCGTGCCTTGCACTGATAAGGTATTTTACTTTTTCACATTGTTTATGATCTGTGAAGATGGGTATTTCGAAACGCTGCCGTACTCGTATTAGGTATTTATTCGCGTATGATATTTTATATGGTATTGTTACATATGTATCAAATATACAAAACACGCATTTAAGTTTTTTTTCTTAATTTTGGATGTACTTAAACGTTCTAGTATATATTCAAGTCGTACCGTATCTTAATTGACATAATATTTTTTTTTACTACAAAAATAAAACTCTTTTCACTAAATTTCTTTTTTTATTTTTTGTTTTATACTTAGCATGATTTAAAATTAAATTATGATTTATAAGTTATTTAATATATTGATATTTAATTTTAATTTATATCTTCACTTTTGACATGAAATGTTAATTGTAGGTTTAACCTAAACAAATTAAACCATTTAATTAATTTTTGTATTAGTCTAAATTAAAAATCAATATTTTTTTTTGCAAGCGTACCAAACCGTACCCATATCCTATTTTTTTAAAATTTTACTGTATTGACTTACCTCTATCGTACCAGTACCAGTACTTGTATCCGTACCTGTGCTTCATAGATTATGATCCATTAGTGAGAGTCTTGTGTACTGAGGTGCCTAAGATTGAGATTATGATAGATTGTTGATTTCAATTTTCATTCTATTGTTGGCATGCTTATTTATAATAGAACTTCATACTCAAGGAATGTTGAAGAACATATTGGTTACTTTGGTGAATTGTGAAAATACTAAGAAGGACGGACACGTGACACGGCATGAACATATAGATACGTAAATTTCAAAAATTATAAGACACAACACGTTAGGACACGTGCAAAAACTATAATTTTACATATTTATTATATGTCATGTTTTTAAATGTTTAATATATATTTTGTCAAATATTTAATTTTATTAAATTTATCAAAATTTAGATATGTTATTTTAGTAAAAAAAATTAATTTTTTTTTCTTTTTGAAAAAAGTAGTCTTCAGCATGTCCTCAATGTGTCGTTAGTGTGTCCCTACGTGTCTGCAGCGTATGTAGCGTGTCCCATCGTGTTCAACTCTTTCCAGCGTGTTCAACATTTGTCCAGAGCGTGCCCGACACGTGTCCGTGTCCAACACGTGTTGGACACTCATACGTGACCTCCGGAGAAGTGTCTGTACATAATAAAGATATCAATGTCATATGGACTTTATGTGATTATGCTTTTAGTAACAGTATAGCTTATGGTGATAGTTTCTTTATGTTTTCAAACAAGTATGTATTTACTTGGATGGTGAGGTAATAGCAAATTGATTCGGTTATTTTCTTGATTTATTCTTTCAATTATTTTCAATCATTGAACGGATATGCAAATTATTTATTTATTTTTTCATTTGATTTTGTTGTTCCTTGAGTTGTCATGGATGATTGAAGAGAACCCAACATGACATTCCTTGGAAATAAAATTTATATGGTAGCTCTGCTATGTTGAAGATCCTTATTCCACTATTCCCAGTATAAGTTTGACATGATTGAGATTCTCTGAAATGCTTAATTTGGCTCTTTTTTTAATTAAATATTTATGGTCTGATCTGAATTTTGATTTTTTAAAAGAAGTTATTTACTTTTTCATTTTATATTTATTTTCAACTTTATATGTAAAACATGAGCCTTTCCTTTTGTTTGTTTGATGGAACCATAGCATATTACTTGTAACCGTGAGAGTTGACTTCAATCATGATTTGGGAACAGAGAGTTTACATATGGAGATATTAGTCTCTTATTATTTAGATTTTGATTACTAAGAAATCATGGTCAACTGGTATAGGCTTCATTCATAATATACAGCCTCATAAATCCCAACTTGAATGGAAGTCTCTTAAAAGCAAGTAATCACAGGTACTTTATTTCATTATTATTTGGAATAATTTTATATGTTTAAAATGCATCATAATTTTTTGTATGAAAGTGAAGAGATTGACTTTAAGTTTGTGTTTTCTAGACAATTGTTCATAATTAGATAATATGCATCATTTAAATTTAGGTATACTTGAAGGTCTTATTTGCAAATATTGCAGAACTTTGGTCAATGTTTGTGCTCTTTGCATGCAACTATTTTTGAAGTAGACGGTTCTTTTCATCTCACTTTATTAAAATGTTGAGTGACATGCATCCCTACCTAAGAAAGCAAAGCAATAATTGATTAAAAAATTCAACATAATATCACATTTTAATGAGCTTATGGTTGTTTAACAAGTACACCCATGAGAGAGATTTCCCAACTACTATGAATAAGAAAATCTCATTGTCAAGGATTACAATAGTTAGGCGGTTATATATGCATTAAAAAGTGATTGGCATTATCAATTTCATCATCTTCTGTGTTGTTTAATTTGTAATTCTCATCTTTGATGTTGATTAGGAACGTAAGCAATAACATACGTTTTGGAAAAGCACTGCCATTACATTTTCAGAACTGTTTTGTATAATAATAAACTTGCTATCAACCATGTCACAAAAAAATTTGTACGGATTAGTAATGTTATCAATTGAAAAGGAAATGGTAGATAACCTGGGTCACATAAGCTTAATTAGTAATTTTACCACTAAACATGCGAGAAGAGTAATATTTAAATGATATTTTGTTATGGTTGATTAAATTTTTATCTAGTATTTTATCTGTTGATTTGTTTGTTGTTTTATTTCTTGTTTTAAATGGAATTTAGTATAGAATTTCAGTAATATACAACTAAACTGTGTGGAAACTATCAGAAAAACATGCTAGTATTTATAATTTTACCCACAATTGTTCTTTTGCTATGATTATGTATAGAGGAGGTTTTGGAATTCTTTTCCTCGTCATCATACTGTTTTGCATTTTTTTACTTTATATTTTTTCTCTGTAGGTGTATTGTGACATTGGGGTGTTTTGAAAAGTTGATAAAAAGCTAGCTTTTGGCTTTTTACCAAGCTTTTTAACTTTTTTGGAAAGTGATTTGGAAAGTTGATAAAAAGCTGACTTTTGACTTTTCGATTTAATATTTGTTTATAGTGTTAAATCACATTAAAATGACCAAAATATCTTTACCCAACATAAGAAATTTATTTTTTTACTTTTTTGTCATAGGCCCGAATTTATAATTTCAACACTTGCGTTTTTCTCTCTTCCCAAATGAATTTTTGTTGCGTTTTTGGCTGCCAGCTTTTTTCTCCTTGGATAAAAAACATGGTTTTTTACAAAACTTCCCAAAACGGCACATTGTAGCTGATTACTCTCATTACATGCAATGAATGGAAGGAAGAAAAAAAAAAAAGAAAAAAAGAAAAAGAAAAAAAAGTCGAGTAGTTGATATACATGACATGACATGACTTGAGCTTACTCTAAATTTGCATTTTTTGTTCATAGATGGACAAAGCAGCATTGCTTGCTGAAGTTGTCAGCCACGTGAAACAACTGAAGAAAACTGCAACAGAAACCAGTAAAGATTTACTTGTTCCAATGGACACCGACGAAGTAAGAGTTGAATCACATAACGAGGGAGATACTGAGGAAACCTTCTCATTCCGGGCCTCCATATGTTGCGAATACACACCCGAACTTCTGTCTGAACTGAGACAAGTTCTCAATTCCCTTCATCTGAATATGGTGAATGCAGAAATCTCAACCTTGGGAAGTCGAGTGAAAGTTTTTGTTTTCACCAGCAAGAAATCCATGAATGCCGACAATCCCGAGGCATGCCAAGTCATCGTGAATTCTATTCATCGGGCTTTGAGCACTATTCTGGATAAGGTTTCTGCCTCGGCAGAGTACTCGCCTAGAACAACGCTTCCAAACAAGAGGCAAAGGATTTCTTTTTTCAATTCTTCGAGCTCATCTTCATGAGTAGATATTCTGGTAAGTTGGTTATAGGAGTAGTTATGTACATACACTTTTGTAACTTGTAGGGGCGTGTGGTGGTGTATATTGTATATGATGTTCCTATATCTTTACTTGGAGCATGAATGTATCAAAAAAAATTGGATGGTGTTACTTAATTTCATGGAATTGTATATTTATATGAATGTATCAAACTTTGGAATATGTAACATGGGATTCTCTGTTCCACATTCTTCTGTCATTTTATCTCGAAACACTTGCAATTTGTTAAGACTATATCTTGAGATTTTTGCCCTTTGAGATTTTTGCGTCATTCTAACGGTGGTTGTTGATGTTTTCCAAATATGTGGTGAGAGTGAAATTATTATGCTTTGGCTTTAGTCCAATAGGTGGAAAAATTGTTGACCCTAAGGTAGTATTTGGTTTACTGGAATGAAACAGAATGAAATGATTATTGGGTATGGCTTCTGTCCAATCCACTGGACCGAGCTGTTGAGCCCGTGGGAGCCCACCATGGGTTCCGTTTTGATAATCTGAACCGTTCAATGTGTAGAAATCGTCGAGTACTATATACTTATAAAAAATCACGTTGATCGGATATCGATAGCTATGTGATTAAAACAGTTTTTTGTCAACCGTTAATTTGTTCACCGTCCAATTTTTTTAATACGAACTGATTTGATCATATAGCTATCGATATCCGATCAACGTAATTCTTTATAAAATATAATACTCGATGAGTTCTACACATTGAACGGTTCAGATTATCAAAGCGGGACCCGTGGTGGGCCCCCACGGGCCCAACAGCACGGTCCAGTTTGATCCCGGACTGGACAGAAGCCATACCCATGATTATTCCATCAAAATGTTTATTTTCATGTTTGGTTGATTAAGTGCTCGTTTGGCATGTGAGTTTGGGTGAAGTTGAGACTATTTTAGTTACAAAAAGAAAAAATAGGTTTTTAAGTCTAATAAGACAAAATGTCATATTTAAATCATAATTATTTTATTTTTTTCATTTACAAAAGTCAAAAAATCGTTTTTTTTTTTTTTTTGATTTAGTCAAAAAATCTATTTCAAATGAGACTTTTTAACTTTAGACTAAAATAGTCAAAAAGTCAACTTACATCCCAAATGAAACTTAACAAAATAGTGACAAAATATATTATAAATATAATCATCATTCACCATTTTAAGGGAATTTTGAAATGATCATTACATATAAAAATTTAAAGAATGATCATTGCATTCTATTTTCACTTATTCAAGTGAAACCAAATGAAACCTAAAGGTTAATTTGGATGATTAGAAATTTTGTAAGGGATGAGAATGCATGTTATTAGTGGTCCGATTCTATTATTTCAAACATATTGAAACACGAACATATTGGAACAAGAAAGTGATTACTTTTTTTTTTGGTTACTTCGGAAATAAAATAAGGGACTAAGCCCGTTCCATAAAGCGTCCTAACATATCAGCAACAAGTAATTCTCTGATCTCGGCTGGGGGTTCTTGCACCACCAGCATATCCTCCGGTTGAGCTGCTCCAAGTTTGGCAAGAGTATCAACACACAGGTTACCTTCTTTCCAAACATGTTGTATCGTGCAGTTGCAGCCTTTCAGCAAAAATTTGGCATCCTCCACAAGTGTCACGACCCCATTCCGCCCTTAGTAGAATGGTGCCATGATGGCCAATAATCCAAGATTACCAAATGTCAACTTACAAAAATTCACACACAATCAGAGTATACATATGGGGCCTACATGTGCGGAATAGGGTAGGGATTTTCTTAGAGTTATATATATATATGTATATTTTTACAAGATCTAGATGATTTTCGAAATCATCTTTCGATAGCTTTGAAAATTGATTGTTGATGTGGTTTGAAATATGACAAATTTGCGGGTTGCGGGTTAAACCCACAACCCGCAAAAATCGCCCGCACTTTAATTATTATTATTATTATTATTATTATTTTTTATATACCAACTTTGTAACTTTAACAGGAACACCATTATATTCTCTATGACACTAGGATCCTTTTTTTTAAGTATTTTTCAACTTTCTTAATGTGGTAGAATTATCAAGTCCTAAACTTGGTTTCTTATATGATTTTCATTGATGACTCATCCACTTTTTCCTAATAAAATTTTCCTTCTGGTGGTCGATGAAGCTTCTAGTTTGATTATTGATCACTGAACTGACAATTCTAATTGAGTACAACCTTTAATGCATTGATATACATTTTTTTCATGGCAAAAATGCTAGTGATATTCAATTTTTATTTGTAAACTCATCAGAAAATTATTGTCAAATGATCACAAATATATAAAATGAATCTAATGCCTAAATTCAATGGGGAAAAAAAAACTTAAAAATTAATTTTTAAAGAAAAAAGTGTAAACCACAAACCGCCCGCACATCTGTAAACCCTATCTACACAAACCGCATAGATGCAGGCGGGTCAAAACCGAACCGCAAACCGCACAAAACCGATCCGCGAACACCCCTAGTGCGGAAGCAATAAATTTAAATCTAAGTAGTCCATAAGAGCTGTGCATAAATCAAATAAAGCGTCATACATAACGTGGTTTTACATCCTGGATACAAATGAATCAAACTTAAATATTACATCTTGATCAAAAGGCTTCTTAAACCGACATATACAAAAGACATAACCAAAAGTTAAGAAGCATAATCTTCAAGATGCTAACAAAACATGAATCCAAAACAGCTTGCAAAATATATCTAGGCGTCACCGCCTTCTTGCTCGTCACCTACATATATATAAGGAGAATGTGAGCTTGGATACTCAGTGAATGATATAAAGGTTGGAATAAATGTTATTCGAGATCTTTATCAAAACGATACATATCATAGCTTGTAACAAAACATGTGATGAATCAAGTTCATCAATCAAAGTCTTTCAAATCTTCTTGGGATGTTTAATAACATCTATATAATACAAGGGATGACATTCCTGACAAAACAATGAAATAATTGACCCGGAATCAATTAGACAAACCCACCCGTACAAGACCGTCGGTGGCAAGGGAGATATCTCAAACAAGGGTACTAGTTGCATTATAGTCCCCTAGCACTAAGGACTTTCCAAGAATGTCACCAAAACAAACATACTACTTGATACAAAAATTAGAGGACAATCATTCATACTTGATCAAATACTTTTCCAAAACGAAGCAAAGCTTTGTCAAAATTTTATAACATAGCTTTATTAAAAATACCATTCACATAGCTCTTCGGGTGTAAGGATTAAAGCAAGAATCCAAGACCTACAAGTACATAATAAATCCCATTGAATGCACTTCAAGAAGACAAGAAGAGATACTCAAAGATAGATATGAAATGCATTCTCAAAATAAGTTTTGCATGAGTGCAAATGATCCCGACATTTCTTTCCAAAACCAAATCAAGACAAAGTAAAACATCTGCTGGGAGTTAAAACATTGTTTTTCTTCTAGGGAAAACATGTTGGGTACCAACCAGGTCTTGGAATGGATGCACAGAGATGATCTAGGCAAAAATGACCTAGCTGGGTAAACTCAGGAAGTCCTAGCCAAGGTCCCACACCGCTTGGCCGAGGTGTGGTTACCTAGGCTTCGGTGTGCAGCTGCCTGCCGAGGTGTTACAAGGTGCCGGCAAGGGTGTACCATGGTCGACCTAGGTGTGCAGTGGTTAGCCTAGGTATGTAGAGGTTGGCCTAGGTGTGCATGCAAGATAGGCTAAGGTGCAAGTGATCATGCAAGGTACGCCAAGGTGAGATACGATGCTTGGCCTAGGTGTGAGATCTAGGCAAGAGTGGTCTCGGTGACCACACCTAGGGAAAGGTGAAGTCTGGAAATTTGGGTTTCCTCCCTTGAAGAACATGAACATGAAGAACATGAATGCTAAAATCATAACTTCTTGTTCCAAAATCTGAGATTTCATGATATGAGTTCAAAAACATGGACCTGGGTACCCATACTTGGAGATTTCATGAAAACAAACACAAAAACATGGATCTTGATACAAACTTTCAGATCAAAACATGGTTTTTTTTCAAGAACACAAGAACATCATTTTCTCTTTCTAAAACCAAACTTTAAATCAATGCATGGCTCATGAATCATGCTAGATCATGCAAGGCGATCGGATCAATATAAAGAACAACAAGAGTAGATCAAGAATCTAACCTCAAAACACGGATCAAACGGTTCAAACTCTAGGGATCAAGCTTGGAAATCTAGTTCTCTCTCTAAGAACCCTTTCTTCCTCTTTCCTAGAGCTTCTCTCTCTTCTAGGGAAAAGATATAGCAAATGATATGTTTTCTCTACTGCCAGCAGACTTAACCCTCTGCTGGGACATGTGGCAACGTCTGGTTGGGTCTTCTCAAAAGGTGACTAAATGACAAGACAAGAGTATGACAAATGGTGTATAACAAGTAAGATGACATGGGCATTCTGACAAGGCAATGATCTCGAATCAGGACATAGGCTTCGGCAAGTAAGGTCTCAATGAACTCGGCTAGGAAGGATAACACTTGACCTAGTTGTGCCACACCTCGGCCTAGATGTGCCACACCTCGGTCTAGGTCATACCAGTCCCGGAACAAGATCGCTAGGTGCAAAGATCAAAGATCTAGGACGCCTAGATAATAACATCTCGGCCTAGATGATGACATCTCGGCCAATATGCAAGGGTGAAGGTGGAGGTCAACCAAAGTAGAGTAAACTAAAATGAAACTGACACTCTCTCGATAGCCAGTGGTTTTTCCTTCAAACACAAACAAATTCTTGTTTTTTCTAGATTTTCCACAAAGCTACAATAAATACTAGATACCAAGAGAGGTCTGCATTAAAATGAGTTTTATTTTTCACATTATTCATAAGCCATTTCATTCAACTTTTCCTTTTCATATCAAAATACCACTATCTTTTGAACGAAGCAAGCCAAACTTCTTTGGCCTTAAAACATTCTCTAAACAGATGTTGGATGTCCTCAGTCATAGCACAACTGAGGCATTTATCATCTTGAGTTAAATTTCTTTTCAGTCTCATGTGGTCAGTGAGTAGTTTTTCATGCATCACAATCCACAAGAAACCTTTAAGTTTCTGAGGCACTCTAAGTTTCCACAGCCAATTCTGATAATCTTCCTTGTCATTGGTATTCAAAATAGGCTCATATGCAGCAGAGACAGAAAAAGTCCTATCTGGAGTCCCCTTCCAC